CAACCCTTTCACAAGGCTGATCAGAAAGCAGCCTGCCCCATCTCACCAGCATCAGCCTCCATCTTAACACTCTCCACCGCACTAAGAAGCCATGCTGAGTGATCAAGCTCTACAAGAGGATCTATGTCAATGTACACGACAAAAATGTCCAACACTGCATTTCTCAGAATGTATCTGCCATTTAGCAATGGGTGACTGCCTCTATTAATATCTCCATTAAAACACAAATAACCCAAGGCTCTGAAATCTTGCAAAGGTAAAGTTAATTTTTTCTCCTACTTAAGCTGTGGAAACAAAGCACTTCTATGGATATGGACAATATGTAAAAGAAATAAGGGTAAGGGAAGTCTGGTTACATGCAAAACTAAACTGCACTGTATAAATCACGCATGGCTACAAAACCTTATTAGAAACCCAAAATAACTTACCACCTCTTCCACCACCTCGGCCACCACCTCCTCTTCCTCCTCCTCGACCTCCCCTTCCACCGCCACCACCGCCTCTGGGAGGTCCTTTCTCACCAGGAGGACGAGGCAGAAACCTCTGCAGTGGTAGCAGCTTAAATGGATCTATATAAAACTGAAAGTTGAACAGTAGCAGTTAGTGGGCTAACTTGAAGGGCAGTATGTTCAGCCCAAACTACTTAGGTTCAAATCCCACACTACCATTTATACCACACATCACTCAGCAAGGACTTTTTCCCTTCCCTCTAATTACCTAGGTTTCTTATCTATAAAAATGTAGACAAAAGTACCTATCACACAGTTCCATGAATATCATAAGATGCATAAATATATGCATTACATTGTATACATACACAAAAAACTAAGTGCAATTCAATGGCATTTTTTTTTTTTTTTAGAAATACACGTCTCCAAAAATCTACATCTTCATTTAAAGAAAGTTGCCAAGAGAAAAATTATCAGAAATGTAGCACTAAAATTCAAAATTTTGACAAAGTAGCTATTTCAAGAAAGGATTCCATTAGTATTTCTTGAAAATGATATTAAAAACTAAACCCAGACTGTATTTAGGGTTAAACAGGACACTGTATAGGTATTGAAATACCCTCCTCGGCACTGTTTCTCTAGGCTCTTCAGCTCCAAGCACACCTTTTCAGAGTTACCTACAAGCAGTGGCCACTTGCTATCAGCAAGTTAATGTCTCCATCTAATTTCCTGTTCTGATCTGGCTCCTGGAACCTCCACTCCACCAGCTCTTAAGACACCTGCCTTCCCTGTTCCTGAATCCACTGAATACTGCCTGCACCCCACCCCCTTGAACACCATTCTACTTTCATGTTTCTGTTTGTATAGCATACTTGTGCCCCCACCCCCACTTCACTGGCAATTGTGTCAGTAACTCACAATACTACGACATTTAAATTTAAGATGGGGCCAGAAGCTCTCACAAGAGCTCTACTGCTTCTATGCTTCCTAACCTATGTCTGTACACCAACAACTTCCCAGTTTTGTCTCTAGCCTATAGCCCCCACCACTTCCATGAAGTCCTCATCTTTTGATTATCAAGTATCATAATTTATTGTATCCCAAATGAAATTCACTATCCTCCCTTAACCTATGTTCTCCAATGGGCCCAAGTGGGATCATAATCCCCAAAAATGTTGAAATTAAGAGTGCTGACCCTTTCCCAATGGGGTTTCTATTTCTCCAGTGTTCTTTGAAAGCACAAATGTAAAGATCAAGGTCACCCTACTATATTAGAAACAATGTTAACACTAAAACCTAATCTCTTTCTCATGACTTAGGAAGCCCCTTCCTACCACACCAGTCCTTTAATTCAGAACCTTCCCTGTCCTAAACGCTTCTGCAGGCCGCCATCCTGATACTTCAGTTTTCTCTATGTAGAACACACTCCCTGCTCTCTGGCTAGCTCAATGCTTAAGTACTGCCTAACTACATCAAAATTTTCCAGCCTTCTTTCCTGAAACTGCATTGAAGGTGCTACTTAAGAGTAACTGAGCCGCTGGGTATTGATGGTACACGCCTTTAATCCCAGCACTTGGGAGGCAGAGGCAGGCGGATCTCTGTGAGTTCGAGGCCAGCCTGGTCTCCAGAGAGAGTGCCAGGATAGGCTCCAAAGCTACAGAGAAACCCTGTCTCGAAAAACAAAAAGAGTGAGTCAAATTTGTAAGGGGACCCAAAAGGATGTCAGCTTAAGAGCTATCCTCAGGTATCTGTGATGTAAGACTCTTTCCTGGTTAACTTTTAGCTTTCAGTTTCAAAAGCAGCACTTCAAAGAAGGCTAGGATGAAATTTGGTGCCACTCGAGTTTCAGGTCAACCTTTTACTGTTTTAAACAGATTATACCATGTTAACACAATACCTGTGAAATCCTTTAGTGTCTTATCTACAGCTGTGAATTATCTGTTTTTGAGACAGATTTATTAGTATTTATCTCAGGATGGCCTGGAATTCAATTTGTGGCATAAGTTAGACTCAAAGCAGCTATCCTCCTGCCTCTCTGCCTCCAAGTGCTGGGACTATTGGCTTACATCACCAACTCTTGCCAAAAACATTACTTTTCAAGACTCTTATGCTTAGACTGAGTGTGACAGCACATACCTGTAATCCCAGCACCCAGGAAACAGGCAAGTTAAAAGACAACCAAGTCTCAACAAGTGAGTTCCAGTTCACCTGGGGCTACAGCACTGAGACACCTGGAGAAAGGAAACTCAATGCTTGTTTGTGAACTACACGTCAGCTTCAGAACTTTGCTACAACACAGTGGAGGGGCAGTAAGGGCCTCAAGTAAGACTATCTCTAAGGCACAACATTCTCTTCTGAGTCTAAGAACTTTAATTGTAATTTTGACTCACCTTTTGAAGCTTTTTAAAGGAAGATGCCTTCATGTTTTCTGACAACTTAACTGAAAAATACTATTAATTACATTAAGGAACAAGTGAGAAAGATGTAAAAAGGTATTAAACTTTTGAGTTTAAGCATTTTAAAAAGAATGCCTGGCTATAAAAGTCAAGAAATTTCCAAGAGGAGATTATATTTTCTTTAGAAAAACACAATCTGTATCCCCCAAGTCTACCAGGATATTCCAGTAAAGCAACAGCAGAGCCAATACAATCCTGTGGCATTTATACAAATGGCCAGCATTCCCAGAACTTTCCAAAAGGACAGTGATCTCCCCTTGGTTCATCACTTCTAAATGTGCATGAATGCATTCTCTCCTACAGATTCTCTTTATGGCCTGTCTGGAGCATTGCTATCTACTAAATGAAGCAGTAAGTTTGCTTCACCTGATATTTAAATGGCTGGGGAGGGGAGGGAAAATAATTCTTCAATGAGATCACTGGCTCATCCCATTAGAAAGGATACAAAATCTCTCAGTTGTCCAAATATCTCATCTACTTTCCCGATCTGTTCTTTGTTTTCTAAATAAACAGGAGCGTTGAAGTAAGGCACCTTATTCTCCTCTGTGGTACATTTACAAACGATGTCATCTTCACAGGGATGCATGAACTCTCCTAATACTGAAACAGCACAAGAAAATAGACATGGAATCATTAAGATACTGATCAACTGTGCTGGAAGCATTCTTGACCACTTGGTCGTTCCCACTATCTGATTTCCAAGGTAGAGCTTAGTTATCAACACTGTGGTACTACGTTAGCACGCCATTACTGTGGAACCTAGAAGAGACCTCCCTTCTCTCTATACCCTGTACATGAAGCTAGTCACATGTAACTGCAGCCATACCTAATACATGCGTAACCAGACAGACCAAGTACTTAGAACAGTGCCTGGCGCCAGTTACCCTGCTATGACTTTTTACAATTTCATTAAACATTATATTTCCCTGACTAGTCTTCCTTTTCCCCAGCCTATAAACTTGAATCAGTCTGTTTTTTGATCATTTCCTCCTTGGAACTCATTACCACTACCACTTCTTCCCCAATGACTATCCTTTTCAGGGAAGTCTGCAATTACAAAATAAGTGCCTCTGTTTCTTTAACTCTCCATCCGTAACAACTAGAACCTTTTATTCTCAGTATTAGCCAAGTTCTACCTATTACATTTCCTTTGAAATTTCTTTTCCATCCGTATGTCCAAAGCATGGCCTGCAAGGCAGCTATGAATGTGGCCCAACACAAAATGGAATACTTATTTAAAACAGGTTTTTGCAGGGGTGTGTGTGGGGAGGTGGGGATGCGGGGTAATGTGTGTGCTAACCAGGCTGTATGGTTCTGTAGTGTGAACTTTGTAGATGATGATGTCATGCTGCAATGTCAAAAGGTTGGATACATCTACCTTTCCACTTTTTCTTCATGTCACTTTATTGACCTATGGCTGTCACTATGTCATATACGGCTTACTACAATAGCCCCTTGAACCTCAAAATTTTGTGCAACAAACC